ATAGATCTGGATTCCATAAAGGCTCATACTCAATAAAGCTCATGACTTTAAGCCTTTGCATGGCTGATCAAGTCCCAAACACAAAAACTCTCACTCTTTACTACCTAAAATTCTCATATCTCATTCATGGTTTGATTCCAACATCCAAGGACTCATTTTTATGAATCCTTTCCACTAGAAACACTTAAAGGGACATATATTAGGCTGTGGAGCTTAACCACTCATAAAGCTTCAAGATTTGGGACCAAAAACCCTAAAATGGGCCCAATACAAAAACTAGCATAATAATAAGCAAGTTCAAAACTTGATACCTCTGGAAGATGCACCAACAAGAAAAGAACATAGATCCAAAAGCTAGGTGCTCAAGTTATTCTCTTTCAAAGCTCATTCTTCTTCAAAATTCAAACAGAAAAACTGATCACCCCACTAGATCCACATGAGAAAGACACCATGATTCAAACTTTATGCTTTCTGGAGCTAGATCAACATGTGGGTCCACAAGCTTTAAGCCAAGCAATGCTTCCTCAAGGAACTCCTTCTTCCACAATATGCACTAAAAACTCACCAAATCATCAAAATGCTCAAGAATCACTCAAATGGAGGCTTAGGGTCGATTTCTAGCGTTTAGAGGGATGGAGGCTGAAGATATTAGGGTTAGGTTATGAGATAAGGAGCTTAAATAGGGTCCAAGACCCTAAAATAGCGTTCAAGTCTGTTTGGCGTACGCCCAACGTTCATATGGTACGCCCAACGTACTCTGAAAAACATTCGCGACCATCCCTGGTCAGTACGCCCAACGTACTCCAAATTACGCTCAGCGTACTCTAAATTACACCCAGCGTACTCACCTAAGCCTGAAACCACAAAACTTCTGAAGGCCATAACTTCTTCGTTATAAGTCTGTTTCCGACGATCCTTATATCCACGGAAAGCTAACGAGAAGCCCTACACTTCTATCAAATTTATTCCTCCTGAATACCACTCGAACTCAGATCCAAAATTCATGAAAAGCCCAAACCAACACCTTTAACAATACATTTGGGCTGTAAAGCACAAACCGGACTCTTTTATCACACAACCTACCTCACCCACATCCCAAAAGGGCCTAACCTTTCTCTTTCAACGCCTCAAAACCTTCTCATACTCGGATTAAGGCCCACGGGCCTTAAGTCACAAAACAATCCAGAACATGATGTTATAATTCTCCCCCACTTTAAATATATTTCGCCCTCGAAATCGATCCTTATCAACACATAGGTCGAACCCAATAATCCAATAAGCACCACCGAAAGAACCCCATATCATACAACAATCTAGTCCCGACTAAGAATGTTGCCAAAACACCTCACGAGATGTACACAGGGAAAGCTCCCTCGTTGGCACATATCAAGGTTTGGGGTTGCGAGGCTTTCGTAAGACGACAGACTCACGACAAGCTTGAACCTCGTAGTGAGCAGTGTATTTTCATCGACTATCCGCAGAAATCCTTTGGATATCTCTTCGTTGCGAGGAGATGGGTTTTCCGAGACCGATAACTCATAAGCCAAGAGGACAGTGGGAGGCAAATTGATGTTGAAGAGCTTTAAGAATTAGACGATGAAGGAACCTCTAACGCTAGCGTTCAACCCGAGGAGGAAACTCCTGTTGAACCGATTGATGAGTCCTTACCTCTTAGACGTTCTAGTAGAGTTAGTGTTCCACCTATGTTGTATGGTTTTCATATAACAAGTGAGGGTGATACGTTTTTCATTGATAGTACACTAGTAAATTTGGATGAATCTAATAGCTACAAGGAAGCCATGGCAAGCCCGAAGTCTGCAAAGTGGAAAGAGGATGTTACAAGATACTTCCACTTTAGACAAGCTTGTCCCCTAAAGCATACTTGTTTCCCCATGCTTTTAAGGCATGCATTCTTTTCATTATTATATGCAAAAGCCCATGAATTGCATCATAGAAGTATGCTCACATTTTATTATAATAAAAAGAAGTCAAACATGGTAAATTTTATAAACTCTTTTATAAAATATAAACCTTAACTTTTTGGTAAAAGACAAAAAGTCTTTACGGTCAAAAATGTTGTACATGACTTAATAAATCATACCATATTATATATATATTATGTTACTTGCTAATAAAAATTAATTATTTCCTAGAAATAAATAAATCCCAATTTAATTATAAAAGTTTTATTGAATATTTATTAAAATCAATTTCTAATAAATAATCAATTGTATCAAGTTGTTGTTAGTGTGACCCATTAGTATCATATGTTATCTAGCAATATCACTTTAATATGACTCTTGAGCATACTAGACCTTTCAGTTTCAAATCACATCACCATTTGACACCATTTTAAGGCAAAAAGCTCTGAACTTGATGAAGTAGCGATTAGATCTTGTTTAGCCATGGATTTGTGTTCTTTCGGTTTCATAAGCTTGGTATTATGAGTATGGGTTACTCTAATTCATATAAGTTATCCTTTCATATGTTTTGGAGTGTTTAAAAACATAAAAATGTAAGGTTGGACCTTAGTTTCCTTCCATGCATAAGCTAGGATGTCTTAATGAGTTAAGAAATTACGGTTTTTGGTATTGAGCACTTAATAGCCATGTAAGACCATAAAGTTGATAACTTTATGGTTAAGGAGATCACTTGAGGACTAGATCTTGAATTTCGATGAAAGAGCTTAAGGGATTAAGCTCCTAATAAAAGGAAATGATGGCTGAAACGTACGTTGGGCGTATATTATCGTATATGGGGCGCACAAGGTTAACACTTTGTTTCTGGTCAAGGCCTTAGTACGCTGGGCGTACTCAGCAGAGTTGTCTCAATTGACTTTTTTGACTTTTTGATTTTGATCAGGATTTGACCAAGTTTGACCTAAGAGTATTTTGGGTATTTTGATTTATAGTTGAGATTTGTCACTATCTAATGTATAGGTGACTGGTAGAGATGATATTTAGAGCAATGACTTATGTTGCTGTCTGTTCAGACTGAGATGTGAGTTTTCCTCACTGTACTTGCGAGTCGAATACATCAATTCCAACCCACTTGATTATATATTGTGGTATATAGGATGTTGATATGCTATAGTGATATGTTAGATCTATATCCTAATATATAGGACATTGTTATAGTGATCTGTTAGATATTTATCCTGGTATATAGAATATTGCTATGCGGTAATGATTTGTAGATCTGTCTATTTGTATGTTGACTGGTTATAATTTTATCTGATGCATATGTGGATATAGTGTGGTTAGGTTGAGACTGGACTTCTTTGTGCTGCCAATCAACAAACCCAGGGTAATCCAACCGCGAGGTTGTGGCTGAGGGCAATCCAACTAGAAAGTTGTGGGCTAGGGGTAATCGAACCGGAAGGTTGTAGACCCAGTATGTAGTATGTATGACAATCGAACCTAGAGGTTGTGGGCCAGGGCATTCCAACCGAAAGGTTGTGGATAATGGGTAATCCCACCGAGAGGTTATGGACCCGAGGGTATTCTAGTCTAATGACTGATTGGACCCAACATGCATGATTATATATGTTATTTGTTTGTGTGGTAGTACTTTGGGTGAACTCAGTAAGTTTCGTGCTTACTGTTATAGTTTTATGTTTCAGGTATTTCAGATGATCGGGACAATGCGAATGCTTGATCGTGCACATCATCCAAGTTTTAATGAGATTATGATTTTAGGATACTTTGATTTATGAATTTTATTTTTGAAACAATGTTTTTGTAAATAATTATTGTCTTGGGGTTGTTTTTGTAAAAATGAAAATTTTACTTTGATTTTTGGGATGTTATATTTCTTTAATTTACATGGTATTGGTTGTTGCTTTTACATTTTCATATATTTAGTCCCTGCAACAAAGGTTCTATATTTTGACAGATTTAGTCCCTCCAAAACCTTTTGGTATATTTAGTCCCTGCAATAAAGGTTACACATTACGACAAATTTAGTCTTTGCAACAATGGTTTTAAAATTTGGTTGATTTACTCCCTCTAACTTTTTACTTTATAGAAAGGGTCCATGTAAAGTTTTTAAAAAAAAAAAAAAAAACAATCCATATGTATAACATTTTTGTATTTTGGCAGGTTTGACCCCTGTGTACAAAAATAATTAAAAAAAAATTGTCCCCATAATTTATAGAAAATGTCTATGTGCTTTATAATTCTATCACCATATTTTGTTGAGTTGTCGCTTTTACTCTTTGGCTTTCACTAAACTGTTGATCACATAACTACACATAAAAATAAACAATAAAAATTATATTTTAACAAAAGAAAAAATAAAATTCATATATATTCAATTCATTAGGAGCACTCCAACACTATAGAAATCGCCCATGTTTCATAAACTTCACAATATCTAACAACGTTCTCTACAAAGTAAAGATACATGGCAACAAGATGCATATAATAATGGCCTCCCTCCAGGAAGAAATCAAAGACCAGTTGCCGACCACACGAAACTCATGAAGGAACTCCCTGACAATTAGCTACCAACTGTTCTTTCTTTTCTATCGGTTATGTCTGATTAGCCAACATCCAACTAATGTCCTCTTTTGCTATAGTCTATGTAATAGTTTTCTCATCCTTTGTATGAACTTCATGCTCTAAAATAAAACGTTGACACCGTTTAACTTCTACTTTACCGTTTGAACTTCTCATCACATGCCTATACTTACAAAAAAAAAACAAATGAAAACACATACATATAAGTAAAAACATTGATAATTAAAAAAATATCAATATTTATTGTTTTTAGAATATATTATACATTGCCTCAACCGTAAAAAAATTATAAGTATAATCTTAGCCATTACACAAAACAAAACAAAAAATAATTATCTAAACTGAGGCGAACCCGAGATCTTTTTTTTTTTCCCTGAATTTGTATAAATTCATTGGTTAAAAGTATAAAAATAATGATCAAAATATAAATAAATACGATAATCGGTTTAACATCGTAAGTCATTTTCCATTTTTAATATCCTTTTTTAAAATATGTGTTAGAAATGTTGATTAATGGTAACCAGCGATATCCGGGGGGTTATTTAACCTCATATTCATTATCTGTTTTCTCGCCCTCTTATTTTACAGACTCCCTTTCTCGCTTTCTCTCTCCTCTTCTCAATCTCTCACTTCAAAACGTCCGATTGATCCTTCTCGAACAATCTTTTCTCAGGTAAATCTAGATCCAGATCTTCTTTTTCTCATTTCCTTCTCGGATCTCAACGTTTGTAAGTTAGATTCAAATTTTGTTTCTCGTACTATCAGGTCATCGTCTTATTTGTTAATCGCTTGAAGATCGTCTGTATTTCTGTGTTTCTTATGCGATCTAGAAATTTCTGGATGATACTGTTGTATTGATTTAAGATTATACGTTTCTAGCGGAATTTTTGATCGAATTGTTGATTTGATTGATGTATGTTGAGATTTTGATCGCCGATCTGAATATTTACTAATGTTACGCTTTTATAAACTTTGATTAGATCTGTTATAAGGATGAATCTTGTTCTAAATTCCGTTTCTGAGGTGAATATGTGATCATTATTTTGGTTGTAATGTTTTTTTATATGGCCGAACCTGTAAATCCGTCTGGTTTGATTTCACTTTGAAGGAAATGGTGGTTTTTTGTTTTAATGTTTTTAATTTAGGTCTTTAGACAGCGACCCTTCTTTCTTTTGTTGATATCATAACATTGTTTTACTGCTGAATGAGGATAGATCCATTTGATCTGAACGTTTCTCAAATATTTATGTTATCGTCTGCAATTTTCTTACTCTAGATCTATGTTTATCACCTTACGTTTTCCAGTTTATTGTATAAGAAAAGCCATCTGTCTGAAGGTCCATGTATTTCTCTGTGTGATCAATATTCTTTTGGATTTCACTATTCGTGATTGCTATACTTGAATTTTTAGGATCTTATCATGCACATTTACATGATGTTTCTTGCCACCTTGAAGATTTTGTTGTGGCTTCTTATGATCTGAATATTATAATACCTTGGAGAGTTTTGACTTTTTGAGTTTATTTATCCAAAAAATGAGTTTTTGAAGCTATAAATCTTTCAGCCGTTACGATTTCTTGTATCCGTAATTAGAAATGGTTTAGTGGAACGTGTAGGTCCACTAAGTCTTGTTTTATATTTAAAATACAGCTTTTACATACTTTAAAGTTCCTTTATTTTATTTTAATATTATCTGCTGATATTAATTCGAGTGGATCTTAGAAGATCAATTCTCCATAACCATAATTTTATAATAAAGCATTTGAAAATACTTATGCTGATATATAGTTTCACAATATCTGAGCAAGTGTTTTTGTATTTATAGGGATCCTGAGTAGCAAGAGGATAGAATGGGGCTTACTTTCACCAAACTTTTTAGCCGGCTCTTTGCCAAGAAAGAGATGCGAATATTGATGGTGGGTCTCGATGCAGCTGGTAAGACAACCATTTTGTATAAGCTCAAGCTCGGCGAGATTGTCACCACAATTCCTACCATAGGTAAATCAATCATATCTGCAAAAAAAAATTTCTGACTTATTATCTTTATGCTGTATCTTTAGCAATGATCTTGTTGTTGTTTGCAGGTTTTAATGTGGAGACTGTTGAGTACAAAAACATTAGCTTCACAGTGTGGGATGTTGGGGGTCAGGACAAGGTAAAAATGCTGTTTAACTTGTATATAATATAATATCATATATGAATTTTGTAATTTTGATGTGTTTATGTTTTTTGTATATGTACACAGATTCGTCCACTATGGAGGCATTATTTCCAGAACACACAAGGTCTTATCTTTGTGGTTGATAGCAATGACAGGGACAGAGTTGTTGAGGCAAGAGATGAATTGCACAGGATGTTGAATGAGGTAATAAGTTTGTTATTACTATAGTCTATATATATATATATATATATATATATATATATATATATATATATATAAGAAGTCATGTATGTATGTATGTATGTATGATGAGATTTATTTGTTTTATGTGATGTCACAGGATGAGTTAAGAGATGCAGTTCTTCTTGTATTTGCTAACAAACAAGATCTCCCAAATGCAATGAATGCTGCTGAAATCACTGATAAGCTTGGCCTCCACTCCCTCCGACAACGCCACTGGTGAAATAAATTTCAATGATTTAATTAAATTAATAATAATAATTCCATGTTTTTATAATAAAATTTCTGATTGATTATTTTATTTCTTTCTTGATCAGGTACATCCAGAGCACTTGTGCAACATCTGGAGAGGGACTTTATGAGGGATTGGATTGGCTGTCCAACAACATAGCAAACAAGGCAAGTATTTAGAAGAAATAATTCCATTTTTAAGAATTAGTTGATAATAATAATAATAATCCTTGATTTTGCTTGCTACAGGCATGAGGGAGGGGGTGATTGATATTTTGTGTTTATGAATGAGGGTGGATCTTGGAAGCAAGTTTTGGTTTTGAGGTTGGCCGGTTTCTGTGGTTTTGGAAGTTGTTCTTTTAAAAAAAATGTTATTTTTTGCTTTTGATATAGAAGTGATGGATGAACATGTGGAATTGAATATATTGTTTGTTTGAATTCGCAAGTATGTGGTAGGTTTCATTCTTTTCTTTTTTTATCTCAACTTGTAAGAGGTTTTAATTGTTTTTGTGGTTGCTAGGTGTCGAGTAATTAACTACCTATGTAGTTTGCTGGTATGATCTCTCTTTCTCCCTCTTGTTTAAGTAAACATCTACTGAAACATTCGTTATATGCCAGAAAAAAAAAATTGGAACTATTTAAAAGAAAAAAAATATAAACCATAAACAGCGGCAGTTAAAACAAGAAAAGTGATTTAACAACAATAGGAATTAGAAGCACCAGAGTATTTTGTCTGAAATAGCAACAAACTTTCCCTTGTATTTTCTTTTTATAAAAATACAGTGGCCTTTCACTTAAAACCATTTGCACCGAATATTGCAAGCATTGGGAACTTCAGACCATAGATCCTTGAAAGTTTGAGCTAGTATTCCAATATTCAGAAGTCAGAACTTTGGCCTCTTATGCTAAATCTGTGAGGTGATTGAAATATGACAACGCCATTCCAAATATCTTTTGTGAAAAGTACATGTTAGAAATAGATGTTCCGACTCCTGATTAGAGTTTTTGCATAATGCACACAATCCAAACAAAAATAATTAACTTCATTTGGGACCCGGTTGTTGTATTCAAACTTGGATTCACATGTCGGGAATATTTTAAGATTCAATTACTTGACTTAATGATTTGGCCGACAAGCAACTCCATGGGTCTATGGTTCTTCTCCAAGTATCCATGTGATTGGGGAAAGGTGGCAAGTGGTGGTCCAACATGAATTTTTGTTTTTTCAGCCCCAGTTGTGGCTGTTGCAGAATGCAGACCCTCTGCTACTCGACATTACGTTTTTTGTCCCTCTACAACTGATACAAGGTTGGAAACCCACAACTCATTCCAGAACTGACTTATCCCTAAAGTCTGTTTTCTTATGGAAATAACCGGAAACATTAATCTCAAGTTCTGGAAGTCATCCCCAATAGATGCAATTGTTGTCCAAGTACCGGAAATACCTTGTTTCGCCACAATAAATTTATTCAGCCAAGATGATACTCTTTAATTTCCACCTACATACCTAGCAAGTAGTGCAAGTGTTGTAGCTCTTAAGTACCAGACATCTTTGAATTGTTTGATTTGCTTCTTTAGGGCGGATGATGTCCATCTCTCCCAACCACTTAATTTTTTTTTATTTTAAATTAAATACAAAGTAATTAAAATCATACACATTAGTTAACAAAATTATTAAAAAAATACATATTAATTATACATTTTGCATTTAATATTTTTGGTTTTCTTGCGTCAGAAGCTGTGAAGCTACTCAATAGAGTCCAACAGGTTATGCACATTAATTATGACCCTAAGATTTATAAATGTTGTTTTAAAAAAAATAAGTTTTGCCTCCAAAAAAAGTTGCGACATAGCTTGTTGCTCGTTTATTTTCTACGTCTGGAAAACTTTTTCTTTGACATGTTAAAGAAATAATTTTTACCCTTATATATTGAGTATTCACTTTTACAACTAATTAGAACATACAAAACTATTTTGGTTCGGGTTTTAATGCATGATGTAAAAACAAGGTTGTAAAAAACGTTCAACAAATATTAATCATGGACCGTAAATTGCTAGTTCATTGAATTTTAAAAAGTTAAATATGACTAATATTATAACAAAATTTGTAAATACTATGAACATCATAACAAAATAGGTTGATATTATTTATACAACATTAAACATTATTTAAATAGTTTCTATTTAGATAAATTTTCTTTCAAAATGTTAAAATTGTATTGTTTGCTACTGCTTTGCTCATTGTATAAGCAAAAATTGATCGTCGATGCATTCTAGTTGGTCGGATAACACCTAGGGAATAATCGAAGGTTAATCGGGACTAAGCTGAGACTTTTACAACATTGTGTATAAATAACCAAAACATGTGTGAGAGAGAGAGAGAGAGAGAGAGAGAGAGAGAGAGATTATATGACTCGTTGAATCTAATAATTGGGAGATACCTCCAAGGTGGGAGCGGTGTTCATGGAGGTACCGACAGTATTTCCTTCTAATTTTCTCCAAGGATATAGTACAAGTGGTGGCACTTTAAAGAAAGAAGTAATAGTTTGCCAAAGATTCTAACAACCACATTTATCAACATTAGACGATCGCCAAATAATAGGGTTTTTGTCTCCCAAGCAGAGAGCATTGTGTTGAATTTTTTGATTATGGGGTTGCAACTTTTGATACATGACATATTAGCCCCCACACATGAAGCCCAAGATAATTGAAGGGAATGTACATATTTTGTATACATTACTTTTACAAAAAACCAACTTTTATCCCTGAAACAACTTGGAAGCATCGTAGAATTCTTGCAATATTCCGAAAGTTAGATGACGACCAGTCCCCATGAAGATAAACATTATTGGTATAGAAAAGGTGCGAGAGGGTAAGTCCCTCGGAAGGTGTTCTAATGTCGTGGAAAACACGAATAGAGCTAGCTTTTGCCATAACCACATAGGCAAGGCTTCCGTCACGATGATAAAGAAGCAAGGTGAGTGGAGGCCACCTTCACTACTAATACTACTCTACTCGAGAAATGTCTCATTTGTAGTTTTGTTTAATTTAGTTGATGTTCTATTCTGATAGGTGGAACTTACAATAATAATATTAAAATTAATTTTTCACAACCTTTTGCTTTTGAATCGAAGGTTCAAAATCTTGAAGCATTTAGCATTAACAAAAAATTGTACAATAATGTGGTTCACTTTAGACAATGTTTTGTGTAAAGAGGAAATGATTTTTTATTTAAAACAATTTATGTTTTTGTATCGTAAAGTATTTTTTTTTTAGTTTATGAGGTGCACAAATACAGTTTATAAAAAATGTTTGTATTGGTTTGTTATATTAAAATGAAATATTGCAAGTCACCAAGTTTTTATAGAAATCTGATTTTGAAATTGTTTTTTTAATAATAATAATAATAATTTGGACACTTTGTTTACCAGTTTGTTACAATTCTGACAATTTAAACGGTCAATCAGATTGTCAGCTGATATGACACAGTAACGTAACATTATTTGGTGATATTACGTTCTTAGTGTCAAATTGAAAAGAAAAATAATGTTTTTTGTGATAGTTATTCAAAATATAGTGTTTTAGAAAAAAAAAATTAAGATAATAAATATATCATAAATGAGCTTATATGCTAAAAATACCCTTCCCTAGTTCATATAGTTTGTTACATGCTATTTTTTATCCAGAGCTTTAAATATATATTTTGAAGTTCATTTTTTATACAATAAAGAGGATAACGAAAATTAGGATGAATTTTTAACTATATATTGGTAGAGTAAAAAAGAGTTGCCTTCAAACATATATTGTGGATGAGCATGTAGCAACATTTTCTGATTCAGAATTGGTCACCGTACGAAATCAAGAACAGTATATAAATTAAATGTTTGTATTATGTGGTCTAAAAACATGGGTTCGTATAATCGATTTTAAGTGGTGTTGGTATTAATTTACCCGAACTTGATTTGGTCCAGGACCACTCTTGAAATACAACATATGGGTTTGGTTTCGATCCTATAAAATGCCCAAAAAGATCGGTACCGGTCCCGGGCCACGCTCATTGCCACTATATATCACTATTGGCTTATACATGGTTTATACGTTTGTTGTCTTAAAATTTATTAAAAAAATCACTATATTTGAAAACTTTATACAAGGCTTATACATGCTGTAACAGCCCGAAATTTCAGGTATTTCTTTAAATTATTTTTGGGGCACATTTAGGAGGGGACTCGGCGAGTTGGTGCATGACTCGCCGAGTAGGGCCATGGTCTTGGTCGCAGTCGCAGATACGCGACTGGACTCGACGAGTCCAAATAGGGACTCGGCGAGTCGACGCTGATTCAGCTGAACCCTAGCCGTTTCATTTCTGAATCGTATATAATGATCTTATGGCCGTCATGTCGCGTCTTTTGGCCGATTGAAGATACCTTGGGAGTTTGTGGGCATCTGGAGCAAGAGTGAAGGCTAGAGGAAGCTTGAAGAGATTGTTAGACAAGGAGGGGCAAGGTGGTGATCAAAGGAATCGAGTACTGGAAGTTTGGAGCACAGGGAACACGTTTCCAGGTAATCTTCGGATCAAAATCTGTAGCTTTTACGTTGTATGCGAATTTAGGGTTTGGGAAACCCATTTAAGGAATTGTTAGATTATCCTGTTGTTATAAGTGTTTAAAAACCCCTGTAATAGTATATGTGAAAGTCCAGGAAGCCCCATATCTATATACTTCGAAATCATGCGAAATACAGGAGGCAGCGGATTGACTGCATGGCTAGGACTCGCCGAGTTGTTCTTCAGACTCAGCGAGTAGCTTGAAGATTCACTAGGACTCGCCGAGTTGTTCTTCAGACTCGGCGAGTAGCTTGAAGATCTACTAGAACTCGTCGAGTCGTTCTTTAGACTCGGCGAGTGGAGTCGGGGTGCCTATACTCGCCGAGTTGCCCTTTGCACTCGACGAGTCGGGTCAAGATTGACCGTTGACCTGCATGTAACTTAGTAGGGTCAGTTGTCTTGTTTGATAAGATCATTAATAAAGGTATGTGGTATTATAGGGAACCTGCGGATTAGCGGATCGAGTGCGAGTAGCTCGAAGGGTTTATAGCTTGCATACTACGAGGTGAGTCTTCTCACTATACTTCACCCGGAAGGGTTTGACTGCGAGACCGGAAGGTCGTATGTGTTATATTTATGCTATGTTTAGAGAGGTAGATGCTTTATACGTGATGAATGCTTATATGTGATGTATGCTTATACGGGCCGG